CGCGGCAGCGCTGAGCCTGAGCCGGAGAGGGACGGCCGCTGTGCAGAGAAAGTCTGCGGCAGAGTGCAGACCCCTCCGCTGCCTCCGGAGTGTGTGGAGAAGCTGTTGTAAGCGCTGGAGGAAGCGGGGGCTGAAAAGAGATAAACTACAGGCGAGCGCTTAGGCTGTAATTTAAAACTGTCAACAAGCTAATCTTCGGTAATTGCCTTTTAAAGTGACTCTGCCTTCTTGAAACGTTTCATGTGATTTGATGAGAATTCCATCTCAATACTCAGCCTTGTAACTTCAGAGTTGCCTCACCTTACAACTTCACTTACACTTCTAGTTCTCGATGGGTACGCCAGACACTCGGAGATGCTTAGCTTGAGGAAGGGATACATCTCTGAGGCAAACTACGCTAGACAATACAAGGTTGGCCAGCGATATTGCTGTGCAAGGAACTGGAACTCGGAGGGTTATTTACATGCACAGCTGTGCTGAAACGGGCTCTTTTCCCTCTTCTGAGCTGCTTTCAGGTGACATATCTATACACAGGGACAAATAATCCCGTAGTTGATCAGGGCAGCATTCTAGAGAGACCGTGCTTGCTCTCTGTAGCGTGTTTGTGCATGTCTCCGAAAGGCATATTGTGTCGGCAGGTACAATATTGCTAAGTTTTGAAGCCTTTGTATTGTCTTCATCGTATTTGCTGATGTATTGTTGTGATTAGAAAAGTCGGAACCTCACTGTACAAAAGTGAGCACTTCTGAATGTTAGCTAAACAGTTTTAGGAAAAAAAATAAGTAATGTTTCTTTTTTTCACTGAGTCAAATTACACCTACATAGCTACAACTACACAACACACAGAAGAATAGCAGAATCCCATGAACACTTTTAGCTCCTAATGTGATGCTACCCATAGGTTTGGGGTTTTTTGAGGTTTCCATTAGTTGCTAGGCTTGCTCCCCCTTTTAAAGAATTCACTAAACATTTTTAAAAAATTATTCATCTGAAGTCCAAAAAAATTTAACCTAGCACCTCCACTTTCTAAGACAGACCCCATCTTCCATGCTTTAGGACACGGGGCTCTCACGGGCTTTTCCTCCACGCACAGGATTTGGCTTGTTTTGCTCTGGTTTGCAGACATCAAACTGCCAGGAGCTGTTGCACGTTATCATGGCCTCTGGTTAGACTGAGCTATATTCAGTATACAAGAAGCAGACCCGAATTATGATTAATTTGAGAAATATTCTTTCATTAATTTTCGGGCCAAAAATCTGTTTTGGTGATTTGTCAGGAAATAAATACATAAAACCCTCCCCCTCCTCTCCTAACATACATATACCTTAGCGAACTCGCCGTCCCCTGTCAAGTCTCATACAGGTTCAAGCTTCTGTCATTAAGGGTTTTAGGGGGGTGGTTTGTTTTTGCAAATTAATTATCTGTGGAGTCAGAAATGTCAGTCACTCCACCAGCGCATAAAGCAGAGGAGGCTGCAGGAGCTCCGATAGATCAGAGTACTTGAATGGCCTTTGAAAGAGGGTTCATCACCCCACCCCTCCACCTCCCCCTGTCCCACCAGCTTAGATTCATAGTCTCTGCGGATTCCCTGCTTCCTACTCATGGGGATCCTATTCCTCCCTTCCCCTTCCCTTACAGCAGAACCTATCTCTGCCAGACAGCCAGCTCTGCGACCCCACGTCCACAAGCAGCCAGAGAAGACCACCCGAGTCCGGACTGTCCTTAATGAAAAACAGCTTCACACCTTGAGGACCTGCTACGCTGCCAACCCCAGACCCGACGCCCTCATGAAAGAGCAACTGGTAGAAATGACTGGCCTCAGCCCGAGGGTCATCAGGGTTTGGTTTCAAAACAAGCGGTGCAAGGACAAAAAAAGGAGCATTATGATGAAGCAACTTCAGCAGCAGCAACCCAATGACAAAACTGTAAGTGGCTTCCGCTTCTGTCCGTGTGCTGCTTTACTTCTCGAGGAGAAACACTTCGGATAGGTCTGACCCAGCCAGTCCCAGGGCATAGTTTGTCGGTTTTGCTTTTTTCGCGAGCTCCCTTATAACAAAGAACACGATACCGCTTAGCTCTTACCCCCTTGTTTCCGCTGTCAGTGCATTCGAAACAGACCAGAGCGAGAAGCCGATATAGGCTGCTCAAGCGAACCCCTGTCTTTCGTGAGGCTGAGGATATAGAGTAGCTTAGACTAACTTCTCTGCAGTACAAATTGCGACCTGCAGATCTTATGGGATGTAATAAGACTACTTTTGTATAATATTTATATTGCAAATACAAAGGCTTTCTTAGTGAGAAAACGATGCTTTCACCTTCTTCAATGTTTTTAAATAGGAGCAAATTCAGAAGTTTTAAAAAAAAGTAGAAGGGAAATTTGGTATGCTTTTCTTAGCCCTATATATACTACAGTGTGTATAGGTGTGTGTCATTGTATTTATTGTAGAAAAGGACAAATGCAATGCAAATTTTTTGGAATTATCATCCTGTTTACAGGTTCATTTATATATAGTTATATATATGTATGTTGAATTCCTGTCTGTGGACGTAGGCATGTGTGATGCAAACAAGCAGAAAGCGCTGGTTTCAGCAGAGCAAATTGGCTGTCTCCGTTTTATACCAGCCTTTTTTTTTTTCTTAAAAATTTCCTTCTGTTGCTAGTCCACTTGAAGAAGAGTCTGTTACTCTCCCTGTGTATATTGACTGACCTGAGAATGACTATTAATTCATAAGGCTGCCTAGTTAAGTGGAATTTAAGGAGTTTCATTTTACCCTGTTGGAATGCAATAAAACACGATGTTATTAACTCGCCTGAACAATCTATTCGTCGAGGCTTGGAGTTATGTTGTACACAGTGCCTGCACCACAGGGCATACTAGGAGGGCTGAGACTTTTTTTTTTCTTTTTTTTTGAAAGAGCGTGGTATGACGTACCCCAGGTTTGCTGTGCAGTGGATATACGATCCAGTTAAGGTCACGCAAAACAAAACCAGCCTGGATGCGAAATAGGGAGGCAGCAGGATTAACCGTTTCTTGTTCTGAGAAGTGCTTCGGCAGTCGAGATACAGAGTGCTCGTGTTTAAGAAAGCTTGAGGCAGAGGGAGTATGCCTTGAGGCGAATAGGAGGATTAAAGAGAAAGAAAGTAAACTTCCACCGTGATAAATGCAGCGGGTAGAAATAGGCTGACCTAGAGCAGAATATAGTAAGACATTCACAGCAGATTAACAAAGCAAATACAAGCGACCGTATAGATAAGATAGAAAGCAGTTTATTGACTCAACGCTTATATACAATAAAGCTAACCAACCTCATTAACATCTTACGCTGGGCTGTTTACAGAATATCCAAGGGATGACAGGAACTCCTATGGTGGCTGCTAGTCCGGAGAGACATGACGGTGGTTTGCAGGCGAACCCGGTGGAGGTGCAGAGTTACCAGCCGCCCTGGAAAGTACTGAGTGACTTCGCATTGCAGAGTGACATAGACCAACCTGCTTTTCAGCAACTAGTAAGTATCGATTCCCAGCCGGAGCAGGCCAGCTAGTACCCGGGCAGAGCAATGGGGTGATTCGCTAAAGGTGACTAAAGGATGCCCTCAGAGAAATGAGCAATCCAAGCTCGTCAGATTTTACTGAAATTGCAAGGTGGGCATGATGACATCTGTAAACCTGGATAACTGAATTGATTTCAGAGGGGCGGGTGCAAAATTAACCCTAGTGTACGGCAGAGCTCTTGCCCAGTTGAGTTTGGAAAAGGTCCGATGCAGGTCTGAGAATAACTAAGCTCACACACTCACGAAAACTGAAAGCACCTCCATTCAGAGAACTAAAACATTCTTCACAGGTCACTTAACTGTACTTATATTTCTCAAAGCAGTTTCTAAAATTCACCCGTCTCCACTTCGGGCCGGCTTTGCAGTGTCAGCCAGGGCCCTTGTTTTGTGACACAAACATGAAGAACTTAATTCACTTCTCAAAGCCCTTGTTTTAAGCATGTACCTCTAGATATAACTTTATATATCTATATATACACACA